AAATCCCTCCAGGCTTGAAAGCGTGGCGCTTTCTATGATTAATTACTTCATGATATTATAATTATATTGTTTTTTAAAAAATAAATATAAATACTTATTTATTCATAACGATTTACAAATGGTTTTTTTTTTACTATTTAAATAGTATTTTTTTCCTTCTCTAAGTAATAATTTTTTTTAATTAAAATTGAACTTAACTGTTCATAACTATCATAATTACGGAACAATTAGCTAAATTACTGAAAGTAATTAAGATTTTTTTCCAGCTCATTTAGTGAATCTATGTAATAGACATTACAAAATGAATAATATTTATTTTTTTAAATAATAATGTATTTTTGGGTCGTAATTGTATAATAATATTAGTAACTAGCATAATTATGAGATAATTAACTAAATTATTGATTGATAAAATAAATTATTATGATATAATAAATGAAAAGATTTAATAATTTGTAATTTAAAAGTGGTATAATCAGAACGTCTCTAAGTAACCATAGCAAAATCAAGAATATTACATTGAACTTTTTTATGGTAATTAACTATATATATATATTCAACTCGAAGAATTTAGTCCCCAAACTACTCTGGTACCAATTTATTAAGAATATAGATTCGAAATGGATACAAGCTAAGCCATTTGACGTACAATCCTTTAAAGCTTACAGGGTGAATACCTGAATATATAATGTCTCAAAGATTTCTAGGATCACCAAGTCTTGAAGAAGGTTTGAAGGCAAGCTTTCAAAAGGGCTCTTAAGATATAGCTAGTGGCATGGTATTTTAGCCATCAAGTCCCAGTTTGTGATACTGAAATCTGATTTTCTTCCTGCAAAGATGGTACCGATCAAGTGTGTGCAAGAGATGTCCATTGATGGCGATGAACCACCACAGGAATACACTGTCAAAGAATGCGGTTTTGCTCCCACGGACTTGTCATCATCCTCACGTCCATTTCCCATCATTGATATCAGTCTCTTCTCCTCTTCATCTGCTGCTTCCAAAAGAGACGTGGAAGTTGCGCTGGAAACTTTAAGATCAGCTCTCAGCTCATCAGGATGCTTTCAGGTTTTGGTGTTTTAACTTTTGTGGTAACAGTGGATATCTCATGTTTGCCCTTCTCCAACTAAGAGGTTGTACAAATTTTGAACAACTTTTCATCTTTCTTGATTTCAGGCAGTAGGACATGGGATGTCAAGTTCATTCCTAGACAAGGTTCGCGAAATGACGCATCAATTTTTTGCATTACCAGTTGAAGAGAATCAGAAATGTGCCAGGAGATTGAACGAAAGTGAAGGGTATGGGAGCGACAGGGTAGTTTCAGAAAAGCAAGTTCTAGACTGGTCATACCGCCTCACTCTTGGGGTGTTTCCAGAAGATAAAAGAAGGATGAATCCTTGGCCAGAAAATCCAAATGATTTCAGGTTAATTGTATATTCTTGTTTGAATGCAACTGCTGCCTGATTGTTTGAGATCCTTTTTATACAAATTAGTTGCAGAAACTAGCTTTATCAATCTATTATGATCTTATACTGATGAGCTTCTAAGTTACTTCCTTGCAGAGAGATCTTGCATGAATATGCACTGAGAATAAATTCAGCGATGAATGTTCTCTATAAAACCATGGCAAAGTCACTTAATTTAGAAGAGAATTGCTTGTCAGACAAGTTTATTGACGGAGCACGAATGAGAGCCAGATTCAATTTCTATCCAAGGTGTTCAAGACCTGACCTGGTTCTTGGTGCCAAGCCTCATACTGATAGGTCAGGCATCACAGTTCTCTTGCAAGACAGAGAAGTGGAAGGACTTCAAGTTTTCATAAACGACAAATGGTTTACAGTCCCCATAGTTCCTGATGCACTTGTTGTTAATCTCGGAGATCAAATGCAGGTATATGCTTGTCTTTCTGTCATGGCTACCTTAACATATTATTTTGCATAAAAATCTGAAACTCGATCACATGTATTTAATCATCAGAAATTCAAGATTAGAGTTAACAAATGCAGTTTCCTAAGACTACAGTTCGTAGTTTGCTACATCCCACATGCTGCCCATATGTATCGATCCAGTTGATTAATCTCTGATTTATCACTGGTTTAATTTTTATTTGAAACTTTGCAGATAATGACTAATGGGATATTCAAAAGTCCATTGCACCGGGTAGTAACGAACTCAGAAAAGTTAAGGATCTCTGTGGCCTTATTCAATGAACCAGACCCAGAAAAAGAGATTGGACCCATGGATTCTTTGGTGGATGAGCAAAGACCAAGATTGTACAGAAATATTAAGAATTATGGTGTCATCAACTTTGAATGCTACCAGAAAGGGAAGATAGCACTTGACACAGTCAAAATTTAGAGCTATATTCTTTTTAACCTTTTGTTTTCTTTTTCCCTCTTAAACTACCTATTTGATCTTGAAAGTAAAATGGGAAAAATTGTCCTTGTTCAGAGCCTGGTGGTTTTTGGCTATCCATTGGATTAAGATGTTATTTTCTTTTGTTCACTTTTTCAAAAACAGATTTCTCTGTTGCCAGGCCAGCAATGACGCCTGGTCTTCTGTGCTGTTGGATGACAATGGATGATAAATATGAAAAATGTGATTATGGAGAAAAGCAAATCAAAAGCAGATTTGCTAGAGCAAATCTGTTGTTTTCAGTGGTTAGTCAGAATTAAAAACTTGCCGTGCAAGTAATTGCAATTTGAAATGTCTAATTCTACTGCTTTAGCTTCAGTTAAAGAAGAATATATTATGCCATGCTATTCAGGTTCATCTTTATTAGAAATGATAGTGGGCCGGATACAAAGCAAGCATTCTATCCCGTTTAATCCATCAATTATTCACTAGAATATCTTAATAAGTAATGAATAAAAAATGAGTAAAATAGAATTATCCATTTATGCCAATGGAGCAATTAGTCTATGAATATAAGTGCAACTAAAAAATTTATAGTCCAGTGATAATAATCTATTACAAGAGATTACGAGTTTAAATTCTAATATACTACTTTTGCTAAGAGCTTAGGTGTTTGAGTTAAAAAGAAAAAAAAATATGAATATGAGTGTTGTCATTTTACCCTATTATGTTCATTAATTATCTATTAAAAAAAAATTTGTTTTAAAAAAACAAAAGTAAGTAGGAAGCAGAAATCACCTCCTCCACTCTTTCCACTATTGAAATAATTATCGCAGAAAATAGCACCCACATCCACTACACTACTTGGAATTAAAAAAAAACAGCTCTTCTGCTCAGAAATGCAATGTTCCTAGAAATTCTTACTCTCATTAGATTATTTGTATCTGTATGAATTAGGACCTCAATTCATGGATTTGTCGGTTCAAGAAAGAAAAATAAGAGGAATCGAACATTTCTTCTGGCTCTATCATTTTAAATTCGATGAATGTTGATTGATTGTATATTTTACTGTCGTAACTATCAAAAGAAAACGAGTTTAATTAATTACTTTATTGTTTCATTGTTTAGATATATTTTAACCATTTTCATTTAATTTTCATCCAATTGAACATGCAATGAAAAATTTGAAGCGATGTTGGTGTTTTGTTTTTTTTTTTTTTTTTTAAAAAGCAAAAGCAAATTCTAAATTTGTCCGCTAACTATTTGGGTGTGTGATTTTTTTGTCCAATTATGAATGTCAGAAGTAAGCCTTCCTACAAATACTATTGACAGATGCAAAACTACAACTCTTTCCCGACTTCCAACAAAACTTGATGCCTGACTTCTCAAGCTTTTTGGTCAATTGTGGGTCTACTTGTTTGCCAGTTTAGCCTAAGCTTTTCGGCACACAATTCTTAAGCAATATTGCAGTAACTATTTCTCTTTTCTTTTGACTAGCTAGCGTTCTTTGTAATGGGAGTTTTGTTACCTCAATTTCAGGATGTTTAACTGAAAAAATTGTCGTTAAGTCTGCAATTGAATAAATAAATAAATCACTAAAAATGTTTATCTACCATTAAGTAATTGTATCAAATATTGAAGAATATTTATATACTACAAGTTCACTGGTGCCAACATGTCTCTCCTTCCTGCATAGATGGCATCACTTTTCAAGAGTGTGCAAGAGATGTCCATTGATGGTGATGAACCACCACCAAAATACTTTGCCAAAGAATGCTGTTATGCACCTACGGAAATGTCCTCAGTGTCGACCACAATTCCAGTTTTTGATGTCAGTCTCTTCACTTCAACTTCATTGATTGCTTCCAAAAGAGAAGTAGAAGATGCACTAGAGGATCTAAGATCAACTCTTGGCTCTGCTGGATTCTTCCAGGTTTGTAAGTTTACACGATATCACCTTCAATTCCTCTAGCTATTTTTATTCGTATTAGCCTGTTTAATCACATGATGTTAAGTTGTAACGATCTCCAAGTAACAGATTGGAACTTGGAAGTCAAAGATTTCAGAATTTTATTTTATTTTATTTTTTGCCTTTCATGGATCCCTCCAAGCTTAGAAATGGACATTAATATTCATGATTTCAGGTGATAGGACACGGGATGTCAGGTGCATTCCTTGATAAAGTGAGGGAAATTGCACATCTTTTTTATTCACTTCCCGGGGAAGAAAAGCAGAGGTATACACGACCAGTGAATGAAGAGGAAGGGTATGGGATCGACAGGATAGTTTCAGAAACACAAGTTCTCAACTGGTCCCATCGCCTAGTTCTTCAGGTGTTTCCAGAAGATAAAAGAAGGATGAATCTTTGGCCAGATGATCCAAGTGATTTCAGGTTATTCTCGATTTGTTATGGCATAATTTGTGATTAGATGAAAAAAATTTCCAAAATAACCATTTTCAATCTACTGTGACCAAGGAACAGCTGTTTTTGTTGATTTTATATTTCTTATTGTACTTCTGATTTACTTTGATGCAGAGAGATCTTACATGAATATGCAATGAAAGTAAAATCACTGATGGAGCTTCTTTATAAGGCCATGGCAAGGTCACTGAATATAGCAGAGAACAGCTTTTCAGACCAGTTTGGTGACGGAGCGCTGACGAGAGCAAGGCTCAATTTCTATCCAAGGTGTTCTAGACCTGACCTTGTTCTTGGTCTCAAGCCTCATACTGATAGGTCAGGGATTACAGTTCTGTTGCAAGACAAGGAAGTGGAAGGCCTTCAGGTTCTCATAAATGACAAATGGGCTAGAGTCCCCATAGCTGCTGATGCTCTTGTTGTCAATCTTGGAGATCAAATGCAGGTACATCTGAATCCGGAAGACATTTTGACATCCCCATGATAATTTAGCAAGGAAAATTTGTAACATGAGAATGATGTTAATCAATAGCTGGCAGCTGTTGCCTCGGACTCGAACCAATAGTTTTCTTCAGGCCATATGCTGCACTTCTTTTGTATATATACATGTATTATGATGGAGTTTTCAGTTGTTTCAATCAATAAATTACTGATTTCTGTCACTGGTTTTATTTGAAACTATGCAGATAATGAGTAATGGAATATTCAAAAGCCCTTTGCACCGTGCAGTGACCAACTCGGAGAGGCTGAGGATCTCTGTTGCCTTATTCAATGAACCAGACCCAGAAAAAGAGATTGGACCGGTGGATGGCTTGGTGGATGCGCAAAGACCAAGAGTATACAGAAATGTTAAAAATTATGCTCCCATCTACTATGAGTGGCACCAGAAAGGCAAGGTTGCAATTGACACCCTAAAAATTTCCTAGTGTTGTACTCTTTGTTGCTTCTTGTTTTATTCCCAGAAATTTAATTTTGAAAGTTGAATAAGAATTAATTGTCCCTGTCAGAACACCTAATCAATTATTGGAGTTCAGGGACGTCAGAAATCTTGTCGATAAATTAATGTCGTAGTGCCACAGTTCCGTTTTGTGATTTTATAATGGTCATCCGACAAAATTACCTGTTCAAACAACAAGTTATTTGATCAAGTGGATAGATTTTATAATTGAAGTAGAGTGATCCAACAATTTCCCTTACTAATTAGTTTGTCATGTCGCTGTATCTATTTTCATTTGCATATATTATGTCTTTTTCACCTGATAGAGTTAAATGACCAGAAGTCATGAATTCCAGCCATAGCCGACCACCAAAAAACACCACCGAACATTTTCTGATCCTCATTGTCGTCTGTTCACACCTCAGCACCTTTCTGATACAGTTCGATGATGCAACGTTGGTTGAAAAAGTGAGGATGAGGGCCAAATGAAGAAGGAAAAGTTGAAGATGACAAGATTAAGAAATGTTTGGATTTCGCTACGCTAAAGGGAGAAGAATACCCTGCAATGTAAGGAAATTTTAGCAAGAGATGCAATGAACCGATGTGGCTTTTCGGTCAAGAATCTGAAGGCATTTGTTGAAGAAGTTGGAGAAGGTCTTTTCTCGCTGGCTAGTTTTCCCTTGTTCATATTTAAGGTGCTTTAGCTTAAACAAAGAATAATCTTACGTCAGCAGTTTCCCTCATCATGGTTAAAACATTAAAGATAAGGAAATCTCAACGGATTGAGGTTTATAAATCTTTTGAAAAGATACACACCATGTTATAGCACATTCCACTTCCATTACATTATTATAGATTCAAAATTCAAAAAAAGGTTGAACATAGACTATACTTTGGTTTATGATAATGTGTATACCTTTATTTATGAACCTTCTGAATCACTTGGACTTGAAGCAAGTCTGAAGGCAAGCCTTAAAGTTTTCTCTTATGTCCCATCAAGTCCTAGTTTCTAACACCGATAATCTACCAGTTCATGCACTGGCAGATGTCTCCCCTTCCTGAAAAAATGGTATCACTTTCAAAGGCTGTAGAAGAAATGTCCACTGATGGTGATTAACCACCACCAGAATACTTCGTAAATAAAAGAAGTTACGCCACAGATATGTCATGGGAGCCAAGTATGATTCCTTTTGGTGTGGGAAATGTCTCAAATGGAAAAGAAAGAAAAGAGAAGAGCAAGACATAAGTGAAATGCCATAATACCAAAGAGATTAAACATTTTAGTGAGGAATACAAAGATGAGAAAGATAGAAGCGGATACTCCTATGCCAAGGAGATCCTTCAAGAGTTGAAGCTTAGAAACCAGCTCAAGAGGTTCCATACTCAACAATTGGCAATAGCATAAACGAAAAATACTGTAGGTGAGGTTCCATACTCAAGAGACAATCCCATATTTTGTTTACCAAAAGTCATTGCTATCTTGTTATAGAAATCAACAAAATCAAAGGAAAAAAAAATCCTTATTTTTCTTTCTTATCTCTTGTTATTTTAATATTCTTGGTAACCTTAGACAATGGTAATACAATCTCTAAACTTCTTCTTTCTAGTTTCACATTTTTTTTAATATAAGTTTTTCATGGATTATGTTAAAATATAACTATAGCATATAGCTAACACAAAAGAAGAAAAGAGTACGATATAATTAAATTGTCATAATAACAAAGAGCCATGGAAGGACGCAGTCGAAAGGGCAACCGAAGTTGAGGGTTTAGTTGATATAAAATCAAACTTTTGGGTGTCATAAGCCTCATGGAGAAACAAAAATTTACCCTTTTTTATATAATAACAAAAAAATTCCGTTGCCGGGAATCGAACCCGGGTCTCCTGGGTGAAAGCCAGATATCCTAACCGCTGGACGACAACGGAATGTATTGACTTGTTAGTCAAAAACAAAATAGAAATTATAAAAACTTCTGAGCAATAGGAGCTTTATATAAAAACTAGCCCTCAAAATTATTATTTTTCCAAATGCATTGCTGTGTTCTTTTATACTTTTATGTTTTAGCATATCCAATGGAAATCTTTTTTCTATACGTGAGAAATTAAGAACTTGTTTGATTCTGAGAGAGAGATTGTGCAGATAATGAGTAACAAAATCTTCAAGATACCATTTCATAAGGGAGAAATTGAACCAGCTCAAGGGTTGATAGAAGAGAAAAGGATTCTCTACAATATAAGAAGCTGAAAAATTATGCTGCTATGCTTCGACTTTGAATGCTTCCGAAAAATGGGAAGATAGCACTGGATAATCTGTTTTAAGGCAAGGAGGAGATATGGACTAGAAGCCTAGAACTAAATCTTCAAATAAAATACCATAATTTCCTGTATTGAGGTGGCAACTTGCTTACAATTTTTTATTCAATACTAAAATAATCCTAAGATTAGGTCACAAATTGCTATTTTCCCACAATTGCTTAGTCACTAGAACAGCTCAAGCTAAAAGACACGTTCAAAAGAAAACAATATTATCTTGCTTCTTCTTTTTCTATTTTTTCCTCCCTTGATAAAAACATACGAACAGGTGCATTTACTCCTGAGATCCTTTCAGCTATAGCTCAACTGGCATTCATATCTTTCTTCCCATCTCCTTAAAAGATCCGGGATTCGAGATTTTTCTCAGTGGGAGAAAAAAGATGTAAAAGCCTGCATGTCTGTATTAGATCACATAGTGATCTGGGACTGCAAGATCATGTTGACTTCAAGAATAGAATAATGGATATAGGCAGACAACATCGAAGGGGCTGTAATTGTGTGATTTGTGAGTGCTATCCCCATTCTTTGACCACAGCTACCCAAAAAAAAAAAAAAAAAAAAAGAGCTCAGTGAATACATCAGCACCTAACAAGAATCAAACTTTGAATTGAATAGATCCTAAATAGCAAACAAGTCCAAGATCTTTCTTTCCTGTACAATCCAGTTGAAGAAAAAAGCCCTTTTTAGATTATAACACCTTTACTGCAGCTGAAGCTAATTAGTTTTCTGCAGCTGCTGTTGAGGTAACATGGCTGCCAAGGCGGAGTTGATATCAAATTCAGTCCAAGAAATGGCTATCAAAGGGAAAGAACCACCAGTGAAGTATTTCTATAAAGGAAATGATGGTGGAGTCCTTGATGCTTCTGTTCCGTTAATTGAGGTTCCAGTTGTTGATCTTGGTCTTCTTACATCTGAATCAACCAGTGCACAGGAACTTGAGAAGCTTAAATTGGCTCTCGGCTCATGGGGCTGCTTTCAGGTCCTTTTCTTATCCAAACTTTCACTTAATTACTACTGAGAAGTCCCTGCTCTACTCTCAATACAATGTTTGTTTCAATATGATTTGAGCATTAAAGATGGTCAAAGCAAAAGATAGTTGTCGGGTAGTAAGAAATCTCATAAGATAGCCCCAAGATTTGTAAGACTTAATTGACACTGCTCAACTGGATTAATGAATTGGTATCATTCTCTAATTCACATTAGCGGGACTGAGTATTTTAGTCCTGCAAATTTAGGTCTATCTGCGTTTCATGAGAAAAAATATTTCACAAAACATTGGATACATGGAGACAACCCGGTTATCATAGATTCACTTCCATCTACATTACATGCTTCGATGTGTAAATGCAATCAAACATGTAGAAGTAGCATTACTCTTGATACATAAATATCAGAATTGATTTTGATGTTTCAGGTAATAAATCATGGCATGACAAGTTCCTTTTTAGACAAAATACGTGGAGTTAGCAAGCAGTTCTTTGCATTTCCGATGGAAGAGAAGCAGAAATACTCCAGAGAAGCTGACAGCATTGAAGGTTATGGAAATGACATGATTATTTCGGAGCGCCAAACAATTGACTGGACTGATCGACTGTATCTTACTATTAGCCCAGACGACCAGAGAAAGCTCAAGTTTTGGCCAGAAAATCCTAAAGAGTTTAGGTAATTTAATCACATGACTACCAAATTTTTTACTGGGTTTTCACGATGTTAAAAGAAGAATTGACATATCTACTGAGTTGCAGCGATGAAGTTAGTTAAACTTACAGTTGATAACAAGGCAGTTTCCATCTGCTGTGCGAATAAAATTATGAAAAGTGCAAAGCTAACCTTGCTCCTAATCGTGGCTGCAGGGAAACCCTACATGAATACACCTGGAAGTTACAAGAGATAAATGAAATTCTCCTTAGAGCCATGGCAAGGTCGTTGAACTTGGAGGAAAGCTGCTTTTTAGATCAGTATGGAGAGCAACCACTTGTGACTGCAAGGTTTAACTTCTATCCTCCATGTCCACGGCCTGATCGAATTCTTGGTGTTAAGCCACACGCAGATGCATCTGCAATTACCTACCTCCTGCAAGACAAAGAAGTAGAAGGTCTTCAATTCCTGAAAGACAACGAGTGGTTTAGAGTTCCCATCATTCAACATGCTCTTCTAATCAATGTTGGAGATCAAGTTGAGGTAATTTATATTACTTAAAGTGCTCTTTATTCTTGTTAGCAGAAGGGAATGGCATAGAACTGTAAACTCTCTCCCCAATTTCAGCTTTAATCATTCATATTTCCCTTCACAAGATTTAAACAAGAAATATCCATTACAGAATAGGTTTAGCATGTAATCAAATGTTTCAGACAATGAAACTAGAATGGTTCATGATTGACAGACTTGCATAACTGGTATGAAATGATTCACACAGATAATGAGCAATGGAATATTCAAAAGCCCAGTACACAGAGTAGTGACAAACAGAGAAAGGGAGAGGAACACTCTGGCTGTGTTCTGCATTCCTGAGTCAGATAAAGAGATCAAACCAGCAGATGGGCTGATCAGCGAAATTACGCCGAGTTTATACAAGAAGGTGAAAGATTATGTTAGTATCTATTTTCAATACTACCAACAAGGGAAGAGGCCAATAGAAGCAGTAAAGATTTAATTTTTTATTTTTATTTTTATTTTTTTCCATCTGTAATAACAGAACTATTGTATTGTGACAATAGATATAAGAATAACCATAGCGTTGAAAGAGTATTCAATAAGCTTAGGAAGAGCTGAGGCAAGGACTCAATGCAGTCCTTGATTATTTGTTGTGCTGATCAGGTGCTTGTTGCATCTCTTGAATTAATCAGATGAAGATTGTTGAGCAATACTTCTGATCATTGTTGGAACTTGGAACACAATTGAGATTCATCCTATAGAGTAACAGAAGGAACTTACAACCTGACCATTAAAGAGCCAGAAAGAGGCAAATGTAAAGCCAATAGAGAAAACAGAAACATGCATAATAGAGTATTAGGAAAAGCATACATTTTCAAGAAATACTATAATAACCAAAAATGAACGTGATGTGTGAAGTAAAAGGATCCAATTCCATCTTCTCTCCCTCTCTTGAAAATCAGGTTTAAGCATGTAGGTCAGTCCAATCCATATGATAATGGCTAACAATTCAAAGTTCAAATGAGGTAAGCTGTGATGTAAAATACCAACCTGTTAGAAATTTAGACACTTTCTCTTGGAATCACAACCTATGGAACTTCACTTAGTATGTAATTCTGGCACATGAAAACTCCCACATGCGAATCTCCCCATCAGAGATGATGGCTGCAAGTCTAGAAGAAGTTTTCTAGGATTAATTAGTAAATTAACATGTCGGCAGATAAAAGAAAGATAATAAGACAAACTCGAAATCTTTATTTACAGCCCCTTGCTTTCACGCAAGAAATAGCGGATAAAACCAAGGTGCCAGAGACAGCCAATAGTACTTTCCAGCTGTACTGCCCAAATCTATACAAAATATCACTGTCCCAATATTGACCTCAGGCTCCTTCACTACAGACACTTATGTTTGGATTGAGCAGGTTGTCACCTCTGAATTGGAACTGCAGACAACTCCATGGTATTCTATACAGAGTGTGTGGAGTTTAGTTAGGGTTCTCTTTCTTTTGCTTCCGTTTCATGTTAAAAAGCAACTATAACTATCATTTTGTAAAGCTTTTAAAATCAAGGGCGATCTCAGTGTCTGCATAAGCATGGCTGATAATCTTTTTCCTACCAAAATAGAATCACAATCAAAATCTGTCCAAGAGTTGGTCATGTACAGTGAAGAACCTCCTGAAAGATATTTCTATGAAGATGGTGTTAATGGAGTCCTAGACAGTTCTCTTCCAGTGTTGGAGATTCCAGTTATTGATATAGTTCGCCTTGCATCACCATCAACCAGAGGAGAGGAAGTTGAAAAACTCCACTCAGCTCTCAGCTCATGTGGCTGCTTTATGGTTTGTTATCAATTACTCTTGATTGAATCCATTTACTTTGTCGTGACCTTACTCTACTATATTTTAACTTCAAATCTTTGGTTGACACACTATGTATCATAACTTTTCTCTCAAGAGCTGGTTTGTTTGTTAATTGTTACAGTCAATAAATCATGGAGTCACTGGTTCATTCTTGGACCAAGTACGTTCCATTACAAAGCAGTTCTTTGCACTTCCAATGGAAGAGAAGATGAAGTGCTCCAGAGAAGTTGATAGCACAGAAGGTTATGGAAATGACATGATTCTTTCAGAAGATCAAATACTTGATTGGACAGACCGATTATATCTTAAAGTAAGCCCAGAAGAAAAGCGAAAGTTCATGCTTTGGCCCCAAAAACCTGAAACGTTCAGGTATGTTAATCATGTTCGCTGACCATGTACTAAAGTTGCCTCATGTACAGTTCTTAAAAAGGTTAGGACTTAGGAGCTTACAATATCTAGGTATATTCCTATTTGTTCTCTGGATTTTCTGTGCCTGAAGATTATCAAATATGGCTATACTTGACCATTATCTTAGATAAGGCAACATCGAAAGGAAATCACTTCCTATGATTCATTGACATAATAAATATTGGCAATAAAACTAATATCTATATGAGATAAATCTCGAGCTTGCAGGGAAATTTTGCAAGAATATACCGCCAAGTTAAAGCTGATAGTTGAAGTTGTTCTCAAAGCCATGGCAAGGTCATTAAAATTGGAAGATAACTGCTTTCTGGACAAGTATGGAGAACGGGCAATAATGATTGCAAGATTCAACTTCTTTCCACCCTGTCCAAGGCCTGACCGAACTCTTGGCCTGAAACCACATGCAGATGGATCAGCAATCACCATTGTCCTGCAAGATAAAGAAGTAGAAGGTCTTCAATTCCTTAAAGATGATCAATGGTTTAGAGTTCCTATTCTTCCCCATGCTCTTCTTATTAATGTTGGTGATCAAACAGAGGTATATTAGTGATGATTTTGTCTCATCATCAGCCTTACATTTCTTAAGGAAAAAAAGATGAATAATAAATTCTAACCTTACAAAACAGTTTAGACTATAGACCATCTGCTACAAGTAAATTCGTTCCTTAAACCTGAAATAGGAAGTTAATTCATGGGAGTTCAGTATTAACTATAACTGTTTATGTATGACATACACAGATAATGAGCAATGGATTGTTCAAGAGCCCAGTTCACAGAGTGGTGACAAACTCAGAAAGGGAGAGGACTTCTGTGGCTGTGTTCTGTCTTCCAGACCCAGACAACGACATTGAACCAGTGGATAGGCTGGTCAGTGAGACGAGACCGAGATTATACAAGAAGGTGCAAGATTATGAAGGCATATACTTTCAGTACTATCAGAAAGGGAAGAGACCAATAGAAGCAGTAAAACTTTAATTTACGCCTATGTTTTAGCTAGGAAATGCATGCAGAAGTTCTAAACCTAGGACCTACGACCATAAAAGGGCCTTTGAGGGAGTTCAGAGATGTGCCTGTATTTTCTTTGTTCTCCTATCTTTCAACCATGGGAGCCCGAACCCTAAACACTCCCAGGATTGGTGAGGCTTCAAACCGATTATAATAAGATTTTTCATGTGGTGAATAAAAAAGAGAATATATGTAGACAGCATAAGTCCAATATTTTGCAAAAGGCTATAAACAATCCCAGGATTCTGGTGCCTGCAAAAACTGGAATTTCGTTTGTTCCTGTTGAAATTTCAGGTTCTTGTTTTTGCTTTGTAAGGTGAGCTCCTACTGAGTTTTATTTGATGAATGATAATCCCCATTTATCGAAAAAGAAAAGAAAACAGTAAAATATTGAAAGGGTAAAGGATGTCAAAATAAATGATCTCGATTCTCAGAGAGATGCTTGGAGAAAGTTGACCACTCATACCACATTAAAACTGGTCTGCACATGTGGGTTGTAGCAGTAGCACTAATATTCCAATCCATTAAAAGGTAATAAAATCAAGATTGTCTGAATTTAAAAACCTAGCAATTTACTTGACGGGGCCTTTTCTTCAAACAAAATGACACCATGTGCAGGGAATCCAGCTGCAAGCAGAAAATATGTTGCCTGGACTATGGCCAGCCAAAAAAACGTAAATAAATACAAGTCAAACAAGAAAATCATACTAATAATTCCACCGAGGCATAGAATCATACATTAAATAAAGACGGTGCCAACCTGAGGCAAGGGCTGGCCTGCTGGATTGCTCAAGCCTATGCAGGCCTCAGCTCCTCGATATACCAGTGGACACATCTCTCACGGTGCATGGCAGACTGTAGATCAAATGAGGACTTGGTGCATGATGTGGCAAGAATAAATATGGAAATGTAATATGGAGAATGGTTAGCAATATCAGGTAACTAACAAGGCTGATGTGAGAAGAAGAAGTTAACTATGCAATTAACTGCAGGTGCAGCAGAGAAGCTGAAGCTGCTGTAGCAATGAAGCATGACTCTTATAACTAGCTTAACTGAATTAGTTAGTTGTTAGGAATTAATTACTAGTAGTTAGATTATAAATAGAAAATGAAATGAGGAAAGAGTTATCTTGGATCAGTTGATTAAAAATCTTTCTTCTCTGTTTCTTTCTAATCTCTCTTCTCTGTCAAATAATTCTTGTATTCACTTGTTTGTATTCAAACTCTTTGCATTTCATTCAATAAAGCTATTGATTTCATCTTGATTCTTCTTGCTGGAAAGTTTAACTCGCATCACCATACAAACTCAAGATTAGTAATTGCTTGAGAATTGTTAAAAAGAGGAAAACAGAACTGGTAAAGTGAAGTCTACCAGTTTACTTGCCACAAAAGATGGAAAAAAAAAAAAAAAATTAGCCCCAGAATCTATTTGGTTCTTTTTATTCATGTTGACATCAAAAGGAGATGGAACAAAATCTGACAAAGGAGCTCCTCTGATGAACAAAAATGGAGCTCCATAACATCTACTCTAACTAATGATACAACAAACCCACCTACCTAAGAAAGGAAAATGATGCAACAAATAACAGGCTGTGAAACCACAAAAAGAGAAATAACCGAAAAATTGCAGGAGAATGAACTTAACAAGCTTCATTCTAGGCAGTGGCTAGTACAAAATCCTCTTTGCTCGACCCACACACTTGAACTTCTGCTAGTCCTTAAAATATCATCACATCGGATCACTCTTGTTCCTCATCTACATTACACATCATGGAACCATCTTCAGAGACATGTATCATCTCATCATCAATAATTGCCTCCAACAAGTTGCAAAAAAAATTCAGCTACATTGGCTTAAATACAATGTTTCGAACTCCACGAGTGATGTCTTTCTCTACTTCAGATTCTGTTTAGCTGAAATTACCAAGTTACCCAGCAGCACAAAACTCCAATGTCTATCCTTCATGATGATTGTCAAGCCTGAAAAATGTCACATTATTAAAAATTATGCTTGCAAACATCTAACTTCTAGAGGACAAACACAAAGAGAAAACGAACCATATAATTGCACTAAGATCTGACAGTGTGACTGTTATACATTTTCGAGTTGCCTTTGCAAATGAGTCAACATGACACTCAATAACAAGAGCGAGCCACTGCAGTAAGACCTATATTCTATTAATCAACCCTATGTAATAACCAACTTTCACAAGAGAAAGTGAGAGGCAATGGTTGAGAATAGAAAGTACTCAATGATACATTGTACAACAGGGTGCTCATAACGCCACTCTCCCAACAGTATACTTCATCACTCCACAAAGCTTATACTTGCAGTGTTGGGGGAGTAGAATTATAAACTGGGGGAGTGGTAACATCATTTCCCAGTACAATGATTGACAAATTTATTCAGAAATTATAGCACAACATAACATCGATAAAGTCTGCAACAAAGACCTGACATCATAAGAAACATCTGTTATAGAAAAAAAATTAATAAAAAACAATATTGATGTTTAAGGTTTTAGACATATAAAAAACTAGAATGGCTACGAAGGACGTTTTCCCTTTGAACAGAATACCTCTTCTGCTGGCATATGATTAATAGCTCTAATTCTAAGATTTCAACTTTGATATTTTTTGTGGCCCATAAAATAGAAGCAGAATCAGTTATAGATTGTGCAAGAGAGGAATTAAAGGTTGGAAATGACAAGCAATGAAATGCCTCAGCCACTTACCAATAATGCAAAAGGGCACAGATGCTAATTATTTTCAACATTAAGAGTCGCCAAAGAAGAAGACACCTCAGCACTATTTTGAGAGAATTTTGCAGCTGGAGGTTCCTCACTCAAGTCTTGAGAGTTGTCTGAACTCTCAAACAATTGCTTCCGGAGAACACCATGCAACCGTCCAAAAAGTTGATCCTTCAATGATTCAAAAGCCAAATCCAACCTCTCTAGCTGCTCCATTGCATTTACATTGTACATGAACAAACCATAGTATAGATCAAAGCTATCCCCAGCCGTATTTTCCACCAAATTCAACAAAGTTTCATAGCCTTTTGTGTTAACTGGAGTTGACTCCAATCCCAACTTTTCCAAAACCCGTCCCATGGTGTGTGTAATGAACTGCGATCCCGCAGCATGCCAATCATGTTCTGCACAGGACATCTCCACCATTCTGCATCCTTCTTGAGCAAAAATATCAAGAAACCTATTGCATCGTGATACTCTTGAACCATCACTTCCAATCCTGACCTTATCAAAAACAAACGCCAGCTGGTTCCACCCATTTTTACCACTTTCGGGCCCAAACATAGGATGGGTACAAAGAATATCGAAGTGTGATGGTAAATGTTGAAGAAACAGATTCCTTGGAAACTCTTTCACTGAAAGTACATCAACAAAAAGAGTACTTCTCTTTAATCTCTGAACTGGCAATGACTTGATAACTTTTTCTGTCGAGAGAATTGAACTGCAAAGAACAATCACTTCTGGATGCTCTTCACAGAGGTCATCTGCATTAGTGAAGTAAGAAACCCCCATCTTTTGAGCCACATCAGAGTAGTCTGCTCGAGAATAGGCTAAAACTGAGTGACCCTGTTGAACAAAGGTTTTTGCAAGGAACTGACCGAAATTGCCAAATCCAACAATGGCAATCTTGAGCTTGGACCTATCACCAGAGCAGCTTGCGTTCCTCTGCCTTGTACTCATATGTCTGTGCAGAGACCTGAAATCTGCAAGGTCCCAATAAAATGGTCATTCATTTGGTTTCTGCAGTAGAAATTATCCCAGAGAGTCCAATTCCCCATCCCTACCCTAATACCAACCACCAACTGAGGACTTCTTTCTCCTTTTTTTTTTTTTTTTCTGGTAAGGAGAGAAAACTACCCTATCATTTGGCATGTGTGCACCAAAAGGACGCAGCTTTTCCATCCAAGCAAGTGACACATGCTTTTTCTCTATTAGAATATGGCCTAATACCATTAATCTTTTGTTATTGTGGCATAAAATTGTTCCTCGACTTTCTCATAATGTGTTGAACATTGTGTAGGATGTCTTCACTCCACGCTATACAGGTGATCTTCGCAATGGTCAAACATTAAAAACATAATCCATATCATAAACAAGTATAGCACATATCACCTCAAATGCTAATAGCTAGTATCTATGACGGGCACAAAACTATAGGAGATTCTAAGCCTAATTACAAGCACCTCCCTTTTTCTTTTCAATCTTGAGATAGAAACTCGAATGTTGAGAAAAAATAACAATGCCATGATAAAACAACAAAATGGGAAATGCACAAATACCACCCGCATCACTTATTAAAACTAAAAACCCCAAAATTTGCTTAAACACTTACCTCGCAGATTTTGAACCAGCTGCCGATGCAGCAGCACCACTCAGGTGCCTATTGCCGTTATTCCCTTGCAAAACTTTATCACTCTCCGCATTCCCAAACAGCTGCTTCCTCACAACTTCATGTAACCTTCCAAAAAGCTGCTTCCTCAAATCCTCGAAGGCCAAGTCTAACCTCTCGAACATCTCGAGCACATTCTTATTGTACATAAACAACCCATAATACAAATCAAAACTATCCCCTGAGGTATTCTCCACCAAATCCAACAAACTCTCGTACCCTTTTGTATTAATCGGCGTAGACTCCAATTTCAACATCTCCAATACTCTGCCCACAGTATGCGTTAAAAACTGTGATTCGGCGGCATACTTATCATGTTCTTGACAACTCATTTCCACCATTTTACACCCTTCTCTTTCAAAAATTTCCAAACACTTTTTACACCTACTAACTCTTTTTTCCTCATTGCCAATCCTAACATTTTCATAAACAAAATAAAGACCACCCCACCCATGTTTTGCACTCTGAGGACCAAACATGGGGTGACTGCAGATGATATCAAAATCATAAGGCAATACATCAAGCAATACATTCTTAGCAAATTCTTTCACA